ATATTCAAGGAGATGTTAGAAAACAACGATAAGTTTTTTTTCCTTTAATTCTTTGTAAAATTGTAAATAATTTTATAGCATTTAGAGAAATATAATATGATATTCAAGTAAAAAACCAAGATGCTGAAATAATGTTACTTTATTAATATCAATCAGTGTTGTAGTCTTTATTTTCAAAATGTCAAATTCACAGACTAAATCACTGTGCCTGTCGGACCCAATGAAGAGTAATCCCTTTATAGGAAGAATTGTATGCATTGCTACATTATGTCAAAGAAACTGTTTGAAAAATAAGACATTTTGCTGAGTGCTTGATTATACATGAATATATTATGACGTGGTTTAAGAATTTGGCGCCGCAACTTTCAAACAGTACCACTTTCTAAGGGGGGGTGGGCGAAAGAGTGGAAGTAGCTTAATAAACGGATAAAAGATGGGACGTATATTTTTAGGGGAAACGTTATCCCAGACCCAAAACCTGAACACGTTGCTGCAAATGTCTTCAATTAAATAGGTTTGACGCAAATGCAGACTGTGTGGCACCTCTACATACACAAATGAACTGAATTCGACAAAGCATATAAGCACGTTTGACGCAGGCCTCAAAATTCCATCAACTCTGCTATAGCTGCGTGTTTGCGACGTGAAGATGCAACACACAAAGACTATGCTCATTGTTTTTATCCTGCTTCAAACGACGATCCCATTTGGTATCTTGGACACGTGCTGAACTTGCCTTGCGCTCGTGCAAAACTGTCTACGCTTTCCTGCTTGCATGCATTACAATACAAAACCAAAGGATTTGAGTCTCAGGTAATCTGAATATGTATACATGTATATGCCTAATCAATTCAAGCATTAACATTTGATTGGACTGGTACACTACTGACTGGTTTCATTGTTTTCGGTTGCTTCCTATTGGATAGCACTCGTCGTGCTACGAGTTGACTAATGAGACACGTTTGAAGCAGAACAGCTATCAAAATTCTCACATTTTAAAATTAAGCATTCAAATGTGTTTATTTTAGGCTACTGTTCTCTTTCCGTCATTCAATATTAGGCCAATCAATTTACAGCTTTGTTGCCCAATACTATAGACAACATTTTTTTTCTGGCTGGGACACTGTACTTCCGTCCCAATTGATTCGTCCCTAGCCACCTTAAGACCCTCCTCTACCCGTCGTCTGTGCAACATCCTAAGGAAGAGGGCGCCTTCGTTCAGAACAAAGGCGCTTGCAATTCAACGAGAAATCTGCTGAGTTTATTTGCAATTTTATTAAAATTCGACTGTTTGACTGAAGACTCTTCACAAAACCATATCGAGGGGCACTGTGTACTCATGCTAAATTTAATCGTGAATTCTTTGACTCGACCGTCAGTGACGTTTGTGTGTTTAATAAAATTATGCGTTGAGAGGTTAAAATTATGAATTGAATTTATATTGAGGCGATTAGGTAACCTGCATTTAAACAAAACTTGATTTGTCTAGAAAGAAAAAAGTTGTCTTGTCTTTCCAGGAAAAATTAGAGAGATAACAAAAGTTTAAACGTACGTGTCTGTTACACTTTCGAAGCCAACAATGACAAGAAAGGCTGTATAACCTGACATCAATTAAAATATAATGTTGTAATGTCTACCGAGTCGAACATGACGAGAGTGCATAATTTTTAAAAAATCATATTGTTTTACAAGTATTTCTGAGCATTGGTGAAAGAACTACAAGATCTTTAAATGAAATATAAATGACTGAAGTCTACGAATACAGATATGATGTTTCTTCCATGTATTCATGTTTTATTTTTATTGAATTGATTTGGAGAATGAAAATATATATTACGAGCAGATACTGTATCAAATAAGGTGGTGTGGAATTGATAAATGGTTCAGCAAGGTATAAGTCCAGGTATAATAACAAGGTGCATTCTTTTTGGTTCAAATCAAAAGTGACATTATTCGTCCAATATTTACATTAACCAAGCTAGATATGGATTCTGAATTGAAATGGTCGTACTAATTCCCATCAGGCTGACATAATGGGGCATTTTCACTTTAGGTTTTTGATATAATTTCACTATAAGAGGTTTCTTTAAAAATCCATCTTAAGGATGAGTATTGGCATGACTCCAACAAATCAAAGTATCCAGATGTACATTGATCACGCAAAAGTTCCAAACAGTAGCGTCTGCAGATCACTATCGCACCCACCATGTAATGATTAACCAATACGTAAAGACATGTTTTTTATTTCAACCAAAGGCGAACGTCAAGCAAATTTGACGTCACGACAGACTTGTAGCCCAAGTCCCAGCACGAATATCCGATCTGTGATCACAAGTTGGCGTTCGTATTCGCATGACTGTGCGTTTGCAAAATTGCTCAAATACGTTAGCTTCTAAACAAATTTGAGAATTTTTCCCTACGAAATTGAACGAAAAAAGGTAAATACTTCCGTATTTATGGATAACCGATCGCAAACGTAAAGTTTTAGAATGATTTGCTTTCAAATTCAATACAAATTTTGAAATGCTCAAGTGATACGCTACCTGAACATGCTTCCGTATCACGGAGACAGCCTGCACGAGCACACGCAATTCAGACTTGGTTTGGGCAATACTCAACAAAATCGCATTAACGGGATGATTCAAACTCATGACTGGTGTTATCCAAGGGTTAGCCTTAGCGTGTGATAAGGGGAACACTACCACAATCGAATAATTTAAATGAATTAGTTTGGGATTGTCTAGAGTCACAAAACTTGGTATTGCATTTTTCTAAACGCACTCACAATATTCAACACTTACCTTGTAATGTTGATGGCAGTCTTCTTCCTGAGTGAATTAATCTGCTGCCTCGGTGAACCACTTAGAACTGAAGATAACGGTGGTCGTTCTGAGGAGCAACGCGGCCGCTCGTGCCTTTAAACTGGCCAGCAAGTTCCTGAACCGTGACTGCTGAGCTTGGCCTGGTTTGTGATTGGCCAGTGTGCGCTGTCACTCACACACATCACTGACTGACCTTATACAGTGACATATACCTATAAGTTATGTTCATGCAATGTTGGTACGGACTTTGTGGGTAGTGATCTAATTGAAGCTTGGATCACCGACACTTTGAAATGACCAGGTCTTATTGTTAGATATAAAATAGATGTATGTGATGCATTAATAAAACATGTTCTTTTGGGATGGACCAAGGGAGTAGTATTAGTAACAGCAACTCTATCGAATCACTGACTTGTTTTTGGTGATGACATCTGACTGGTGAATAAAACATGACGCATAGAAACTGTGAATGATTCATTGAGTGTTGTACAAAGTGGAACAAAGTGGTTCCCGTTTGTAAATTTAAATAATAAAGGCCTTGGATTTTAGATTTCTAACATCTCCTTTGACAAAGAAGGTTTGTTTTCTTAATACGATTGTATATAATGCAGGCATCAATGGGTAGTGCACAAAGTCAGTTGCTGAGCCAAAATTTTAATAGGCATGTATTTATTTTAATGCTGTCTCTACTACAACGTGTAGACTGACACGTCAAATTATTGGGTCGCCTCAAGTAACAAACATATGACAAGCTATCGGCATCTTTTACTTTATAAACTGCGCCCTCACTCCGGTGTTCTTCATTGTATCAAATAAACGACGTAATTATATTGTATTGATTTGTTTTTTAAAAATGCTAAAACATTTATGTTCATTTGGAACTAAATTGTGACACTAACCAGAACTCCATGACTCTTAACATTGCCCACAAAACTGCAATGAACTGACCTGCTGACCTCTCCCGGAAGTAATAGAGGAAGTTGATTCACGCTTGCTATGGCAGGTATTTCCTTCACACATGGGAACACAATTGATATCGGTAGCGCATACACAGCGTATTCATTTATTGTGGTCAGTTAGAACAATAACGAAAAGCGGACAGGTTTTGTGTAGCACTGTGGAGATAATAGGCCCAACCCGGTTGCTGGCGTTTCTATTACTATTGTTGTTATTCGTTCTCTTTAGAGGTGGAACAGCGCATTGGATGCACAGATTTTCCTCGGGGGGGGGACCCATGACGCCATGCCTGGTAAGGCCAGAAAACTACTCCTTATCCCTCACTTGTCGTTTTAACTCCGAGCAGTCATTGAGGAAGGAACCACGCCGTCGAACAAGCCTCCTGTAGTTCACTCACCCTGTTAGTTCTATGTAGGGAAATGCTGAGAGGAAGCACAAGGAACCTAAAGGTGCTCAAAAAACCAACGTGACAAATCCAAGTAGGTATCGGTCGATTTGTACAGTGGTAGGTTGATTAATTCAAATCTACAGGGAGAGTATTGAAAGAACTCATCTACTGCTCTTTGCTTTTCACTTCCCATCCATCCTAGTTTAAAATATGTGGTACCCATTTTATTGAGCACATATTTATATCAGTTCATGTTTAGGTAGGTGAAAATGGATTTACAAAATTTTTCCCCTTTCAAAGGCAGATGAGAGATTAGGGGAGGGACAAAGTGGCTACACCTTTCCTCATTTTTCATTGCAGTGACCACTTTCTTGAAGGTACTGAGCAGAACCACCCTATATTTGGTCGAACGGTCCGGGGGCTATCTTGTTGGTTATGACACTACAGCAATATTCGCGTTCCTCCGTCGTTCGTTAACCAGCTAGGTAAAAGGGCGCCCTCTCTGCAACACTTCCTTGGAAAGTTCATTGCCACACAGAAAAAAAATCCTGTTTAACATAAAAACTGAAGCAATTTTGTAGCTCTATTTGCACTTGCGACAAAGAATAATCACAGTCAAAGTTTACTCAGACAACGTGCTTCACGCAAGAATGGCGTTAATTTGCTGACCGTTTGGGGCAAAACTGCCCAAAATGAAAAGTAAATGCTAGAACCCGGTAGAAATCCTCCTTTTAGCAGCTTTTACAGGTTTTTCTGCAATGCTAATCCCTAATAACATATATGAAGCTTTCACAAGACGATATTGAATATAACTGCATTAACATGTCCAGGCATTTGGGGAAATTGTTTTGTCCTCTTTACTCAAGTTTACTAAAACTTTAACAGTAATATATTAACACAGATGACGTACTTTTAACAATAGGGTGCCTCTTAAAAAACATCATTGGCGAGTTGATGTTTCAAAAATGCCTAATAAGGAGTGTAAGTCATTTATTGATATCAAGTTTTCAAATAAGGTTGCATAAAACAAATACAAATTCAAACTATCCCGTTGTCATCAACTTGGAAAAATCGTACACAATTCTAGCACAATCTGTTTTTAACTGATTTTCCGTGGCACCTTGTGGATTAAAGGGGCAAGCTTCAGCAAAGATGTTTTTAATTGAATAGTTCAAATGGAAACACCAGAACTTTAGAAACAAATATTAGCACTTTATCTCTATGGGAATGACGATTCTGCTTACAGAAAAAAATGGATAATCTGTTTGAAAGAAAAGCTAAACCTTGCAGTCCAGCAAAATTTAGAAGCCAGCTTTCAAGCACGGCTCCAGGCATTTTAAGTTTCCAACTTGAAACAACTATATATCTTGGTCTTTGAAAATTAGTTTTCTGCAATGAGTACCTTCTTACTACAGAGTCATTTAGCAATCGTGGGTGCTTAAAGCACCAGCACCACCACCTTATTTTCTCTAAACAAATTGCTCTCACTACTACAAGAACTAATTAAAAATAACCCAGCCCAATCAAATGGCTTAATTCCTCACAGTATATTTGCTACACCACTGGTTGGATCAAACCAGTAATGATACTAAACTCTACCCCACTTAAAACCCTCAGCAAATTAGCCACGGTTCACTTTTAGCCAACGTATGCGCAACTGACGAGTGCCACCACTGCAGGGCACGAAAACATGTTCTTTCTACCAAACATGATTTGAAAAATAATCCTCTGAAAAAACCTTCCTTGATGTTCCAATCTGGTCTCCTATGCTTAAGAACACTACGTTTTCACAGCAGACTTAAACAACACACACTGCTGCACGCTGACAGTTTTTCCCGACACGTCTACAGCATTTTAATGACAAATTATAATAACCCATAATGCGTTCAACTGTTGAGCGAAAACTAAACAACGAGGTTTCAGTCTACTAAAATCAGACAAACTGCATAAAGTGACTTGGGTACTCTAGAACCTTTTATGCGTATAAATTCTGGTCGTAAATGTTAATTTCGGTTTGTTAGATATTGATATTGAAAAATAATGCCAATTTATTATTTTGATAATTTCCATAGTGGTTACAGTTTCAATTTGGATTCGGGCTGATTCTATTTCTTATAAGTTTCTTAAATTTGACAGTGATACCGATAACCTACAACTTGGCTTAAAAGAATTTCGAGCAAACCATTGATCCGTTTTTGAAAATAAAAACCACGGTTTAGACTTCCCCGAGATCACCTGCTTCTTGTCAAAGTCAAGATTAATTTTTTTTTCTATATCAACTCAATGATTGTGTAGTTAAGTGTATTTTATTAAATGGCCAGAAATCCACTTTTGATATTTGTGAAAGACGGGGGAAATATTTTTCTGTAAACAAAACGCAGATGGCAAAGGAAGTGGGCCAAATATCAGCAGTGTCCTATTCACTCAACACCGTATGATTTATTCATTCACGGTGCTACAGATCCGGTGGAAAATCAAGACCGCAAGTCCAAAGGAATGTGGTTGTGAACAACCTCAGAGCTGTTTTGGATTCAGAGCTTTTTCTAAGCATTGTTTGTTTGTTTTTTGAGCCATTTAATTCCTAGAAAAAAATTGTGATTCCCACAGTCTCAGTTATCGGGCAAGTCCTTCTTTTTTTCTCGGACCGCAGAAGCTGGAGCGTGCACGAAGTGCAGGACACAGGGCACTTCCTGACTTGTGCCCCGGTAATGGCTGCAAGTGTGGTGCATGTGTAGCATGCAGACGATCTTACTAGTTAGGCATAAATAACGCTATTAGTTTAATTCATACTTGGCTCTTATGTACATATTGTGCCAATCTGCACATATTTCTGAAATTGGTGAATTTTTCGGCATAATTTGGAAGTAATTGGACTTAATTAAGTTACAGAAATTATGACAGGAAGATAGTAGTGGTATGCATGCAAATCCATATACATAAACATCTTGAAAAACTGATAAAAAATCAACGAATGAGGTCATGATGATGTCACTTCAAGGGTTGACTGTTGAAGTCAGTCAGGGGTTGACTGAGTTAATTTCACAAAGACTAGACACTGCCTAATATGTAGAATTAAAAACCGTACATTTTGGTGACGTCATCATGACTTTATCAGATTTTGCAACAAATAGATATCTAAAACGTACTGGAGGTCTACAAAAAAATTCGAGAAAAAATTGTTTGTGTCAGGAGATCTGTCACAAAGAAGGTCAAAATGACAAAAATGAAAAATCGTCAAAATTAGGTGGTGACGTCATCATGACGTAACCCAAATGTTCACACAATTTTTTTTCGTGGAAAATTTAAAAACACTGGGAGAAATGTTAGAGATACAAGCCCGAAAAGAATTCAAGTTTGAGGGTTTGTCAGGTGACATGTGATGACGTCATCATAACAGATCTCTTTTAGGGCCATACTTTGCTGGTGGTCAATATATATTTGCAAAGTTTCAGAGCAATCACTCTTACTTAAGTCCCAAAGTGTTATGGTGGAAAGATTACTGAAACGAAAAACACCTGAAAACTGGTTATTGTTAAAAACTGGATTTTTTCTTAATCATTTTTTTCCAGTCTGGTTTCATAACCTAAACCATGTCTCTCTTGGTCCTATTATCACCAACTTGTGTACTTTGGAGAGGAATCACCCTAAACCCCATCGGGCCACCAGGAGCATTGAAGTGTATAAATGAGTATTGCGCGATCACGCACTTTTCGCCCTTTTAACCACAATATTTTCTCCCAAAACCGCTGAAGACCACCTGTAGGACTGCTTATTGCTAGAAGTGTAGAAAAAGAAAGGCATTTTGAGGAGTTTATGTTGCTGTTTCTTGAGAAGTGTCTTATACTTCAACATCGCAAACCACAGAACGAAAACAATAGCTGCTATGGCAGTGTAGCTGAAGCAGCTAAAAATGGATAAACATGTTCTAAACATATGGCATTGTATGGGAGAGGTACAATCATTTCAATTAGTCTTAAAAGACATCTTTTAGGTAATACACATTTGTCCTTGAGGAATAAAACAGAATAAAACAAATAACCAAACAAAACCCAAAAAGAACAAAGTTGTGTATAATTATTGTGTGGTTGTTTATTCGGAGTAAAGGAGAAAGCCGCTAAATGAGGTGTAATGGTAGGGTGAACCACTGTTAGCCCTACCACTCATGGTCAAATACACTGAGTCTCCTTGCTGCAGATCTAGCACTGCGCTCCCAGATACCTGCTCATATGAACCTGAGTCATTGCTACCGCCTGAGATAACCGCGTCGTTGTTTTTCCTAAGATGAACCCAGAGGTGGAAGGAGGGCTCTTTGTTAACAGAAAACGTGAACACGTAGGTACCTGGCATATTACATGTAAATGTTCCGGTTGCAAGATTGAAGCTGGTACCCGGCAGAAGCGTCTCGACCTCATCGAAGGGCAAGTGGGTGGTGTGACTTGTTGATGTATCTGAGTCAGTTATGCGCCTCACAGTGAATGCTCTCCTCTGAGCAGAGTTTTTGGAAGTCTCCCCGGCGTCTCCCTTTTCACCTTTGACCCCTGATTCCCCAATGGCTCCAACTAAACCAGGTGGACCCCTTGGACCTACCTTACCAGGCAGGCCAATTCCGTCGTCCCCTTTGGGGCCAGGGTTTCCAACAGGGGCAGTCGGACCAATTTCACCCTTCTGACCCTTGACCCCAGCATTGCCCTTTAGCCCTGCAGGTCCATACTGACCCTGATTTCCTGGTAGGCCCGGGATTCCGGGTGTTCCAGCAGGTCCCTGGCAGCACATTGGACAAACCTGAGACCCAGGACCATGACCGTCTGCAAAAGCCGGCCTGGTAGTGGTAGCTCGGAGTTTGATAGAGTTAGCCAGCAGGATGGCGATCGAAGTGACAATGAGGAAACAGATTTGCATCTGCAAAAAGAATAAAAATAATAAATATGTCAACTTAGGAAAGCAAAATGGAGAAAGAGAAAGATAATTCTGCAATTGTTATAACTAAAGTATATGTTATAGTGTAATTCAAGAACAAGAATTAGAAGCCATTACTGCTTTGGCACAACGTGAGTAAATATGTAACACGCGCGCGTGAAATGCCACAATGACCAATAGGATGTCGCGATTTGCTAAAAGCGCGGGCGTCTCAAGACGGAATGTGGGTGTGAGCGGGACGCCACCGCAGTATGGCGTCTCCTCGGATTAGTCTAGAATCTGAATCGGAACCTTGAGTAGAACTGCACTCTATAGTACTATAATTAATAAATATTAATATATAATACTATAATTATCAGCTTTTTTTAGAACGAGGAAACAAGCCAGGTGGGATCTCTTCCGATTTGAAAACAACTTGTTAAAAGAGAAAACCTTACACTCCAATCCTATATGCACTTTGCATGTTTATGTTAGGAACTGCCACACCGGGGAGCCAATATTTATGTGTCAGAAAGTTTCATTAATACATTTCTGACTTTCGCAATTTTTAACAGATTGAAAACTTTGTCAATTAAAAATGTTTCAAATGAACTTGACAAAGCTTTCAGAATATGGGAGCTCAATCGTATCCAAAAGCAGCGGTCATCATCAGCATCATTTGTTTGGCTACCGAAGAGTTTGGTAATTTATGTGGTATTTCCATATTTGACAACATTCACCATGACTCAAGCTTTCGTGTTAAAAATAGATGCTAGTCGGCTTAGTTTAGCAGGTATTATTTTATTTCCTTTCTTTCAATATGATTGTTCTGTAGGCTAGCAAGACAATTACATCTACTCTTTGATCTACTCAGTGTGTTCCTAAGGAAAGGTAACCGAGGTTCAAAGGTCAGCTATGTCAAGAATACGTGTTTGTTTTATTGTGGAATGTTCACTACAATGCAAAATAACTCATCAGCTTTGATTTCACACAATACTTGGGTCAACATTGTTACGGATCGCAGAGTTAGAGTCCTTCGAAGGTGAAGGGTACAAAACCTACTCTTTTTAAGCTTCGGTTTTAACTATATGGCCAACGCATAATAGCCCTCAATCATTAGGTGGAGTGGCCTCCACCATCTCCTGACTGGACACCTGTGACTTTTTCCACCGGGAATACCTAAAGAGCAGCGTATACACATCCCCACCACGTGATCCGGATGACTTGCTGGTGCGTATTCAGCATGAGACGGATGTTCTTCGCCACGATCCTGCGATGGTTAGAAGAACAATGCGAGACATTCAGCGTCGTTCACAGCGTTGTGTCGACAGGGGAGGTGGACACGTCGAAGGTGTTTGTCCATAAAACGTAAGGGCTAAATGATGTGCTCACCAGCGATTGTAAATTACAATCGCTTGCAAATGTTAACAGGGGGAATAGAATTTCATTAAAACTTAGTGTGAAAAACAAACCAACAAAACAAACATTAATACAAAAAGTTGTTTTCGTTCCTTACCATCCAAAAACCTTGAAAAGGTAGGTTTCGTACCTTTCTTCTTCGAAGGACCCTAACTCTGTGATCCATGGCAATGTTGACGCAGGCAAGGTGCCAAATTAAAGCTGATGAGTTACTTCGTATTATAGCAAACATTCCAAAAGGATCAACCACGAATTCTTGACATAGCTGACCTTTGAACTTCAGTTACATTTTTTAGGAACACACTTTTATATCTGAGAAATTCCTACCAAATGACCCTGTTTGGTGTATTAGAGTGTCTAAACTGACGAATTAAAAGTATATCAATGCAACAGTCTTTTAATTAAACTGTGAATAAATGTACTGTTCCTTGTTGAAGTATGCTTATGTCGTCCTGACACCAAGGTATCTTATAACGAGATATACGCCAAAGGTAAGCAACGGCATTATTCGTTTTAACTTCGAGAATGTTTTTTTTTCTTTTTTATTGCATTTTCGGGGCATCTGAGTTACATTTGAAAATTACCAAACTGCTCTTTAATTTGCTTTTGATGCTCTTGGATTAGGAGTCCACAAATTTTTATCCATAAATTAAACTTTGATAATGAAACAAAATTAACTTTGAAACTATTTTTCTGAAATACATAGTAGTTGTCAATTTAACCATTACACATTTCTTCTATCATTTGAATAATTACAAAAAAAATCATATCACCATTAAATGTAAATGAGTCTTGCTCATCTTAACTATCATTACACTTGTTTGTGATAATAGTAACATTTTAGTACACAGGCTTGTGTTAGTTCATGAAAATGAAATTGAAAATGTATGGGCAAGTGGGGTGTGTGGAAAACGAAAGCGAACGAAAACGAAATCCCAATGACTTGTGCATGTTGGGCAAAAGCTGTTGTTATCGTCTCTCACAGGTACATGATGACAGCAGAGAATGAAGGTTTTGCCCTCTGACAATGATGACTCACTTTCCATAGATTCGATTAATGATGTTTTGCAAGTTATCTTTTTGTTCCATTTCTCCAGTTCGTGTCCACAATTAAGTAAATAAATGGCAAAGACGTTGACAAGAGAGGGGGTGCTAGGCTTTACAACGTATAGCAGATGGGTGGCACTCTGCTTAATATATTGCGTTTAAATTACAGACATATACAGGTATAGATTGTTGGTCTCAAAGATACAGGCCTTGTGCAGAAAAAAATATTACTGCAAGCTGCAGCTGTGATCCGTTAAGTCATTGGACTAGTTGGTCTTGTGGAGAATGGAGGATTAGTGGGTCTTGGACCTAGACTTACATCAGGTTCAGAATAGCCACCATAAGATTTTCAATTAGTTACATCGTACTGCATAAATGGCCTCCTGCAGCCCTCCTGTGTGGGTCAGAAATGGGGGGTAGTACCCAGTATTTTTTAAGTTGGAAGATGGGCTATGGAATCATTCTGCTACGTTTTCGTGATGAGAAAAATAAATAAAAATGGATTAGACTGTTTTTTAGGATTTCCTAGCGACTGCAATATTTACTCTACAAAACGGAAAAAGTATTTTAAAAAGCCAAACTTACTTGACCGTCTGAAATCCCGCTTTTGTGTAATTGTGCTTTAGGGTACACCAGTAATAGGTACAGTAAAGGAATACCCCTGGGCCATCATACATTTGGTCGGGTAGTCTTTTTTTTCTGATGCCGTCATCTCTGTATTGCACATTTACATTTGGGATCCAAACAACCGAGGTGGTCTTATATCTTGTGTACATCAACAGGGAAAAACTGTTTTTAACAGTAAACAGTGAAGGGCCAGTCTGTTTTAGTGTCGATATTGGTGGTACCCGGGTACAGTCAATGTACTGTACACAAGCTAGTAAATCATTTCCTGTAAAGGAAAAACCAACAAACAACCCAACAAACCAACAAACAAACTCGATTTCAACTAACCAGACACTACATAATTTTGGGGACAATAAACTGCTAAATTCAAGCTGAATGTATTTGCAAGTACACTTCAGTGTTCTTTAAATCTTTCTCTAATTACGAGCATTCGCAGAAAGAATCCAATAAATACAGAAATAATAGTTTTGACATGAGAAAAGAAATGTGTCAGGAAGCCCAAGCGAAGGATAACTAAGTACTTGTAACGTTAAACATTGAAGCAAGTTTTTTCCTGTACCCTTTCATTTAGCATTATCCATTTCCCCAGTCTCTTCCTGTAACTAATACCTGACATTGAGTGCAAAAATACTGTGACACAACAGAGTATGCTAAGCAACGCGGCAGTAGAGCAAATGTCCGATTTAACCTAATCTTGCGTATAAATAGCATATACATATGCTTTGCTTATTCCTCGACTTGTTAATCAGTTATTGGACGACAACTTTCACTACTTAGTCTAATCAACAGTACGCAGGAGTAGCAACAGCTACAGGGGGCTTGCAAAGCTATGCTAGGCGTGTTAGTAGAACCTTTATCTGGTTCAATCCCGGAAAATAAGACCCTAATGGTTAATAGCAAAATAATGTACCGTAGTTTAGCAGGCGTGTGGTAACAGGTTCTCATACAAATACACCCTTTTTCATTAGTGGTCTAGGCCGTTTGAGGTGTTTTACTTTAGCAAATTCAATTGACATCATGATAACTACCACTTTCGGTCCAGAATGCGAGGCTGCATATGCAATCTAGATTGGTCAAGCATTACAAATAGGGCCCTGTCCTAACTGACTACAACTGGCCATTAAACATTCCTTGCTGGGCAATATCAAATGTACACATTATGGTTGCTGTGCGCTGTGGGTGTGAACCGCCAAGTTACAAACCAATCAACGGTGCCAGGTAAATAATCTTTGCATATTGGGATTTACAAATCTGGTTTTACATTTAGATTTACACCAGGCTTGTTACAGTGGTGGCAAAGAAAGACTGAAATTTTTGACACCGTATTGAGGGGTCTGTCCAAGTACCCGTGTCCTCTAATGCCACGATAAAGCGCCCTCTTTTGACAAGTCAAGTAAGTGTTGAATAAACCAGCCATAACGTTGTTCACAAGCCAAACATTCAAAGACCGTTCGTTTGGGGTCACAATTCTTGCCATGTCATTACATCGGACCAATCAGGTTTTGGATTTTACTCACCAGTTGACCTTTATTCATTCATTTATTAATTCATTTTGTTCGTATCATTGACACTCCGCAACGCTTGCATTTCCTAGTGGTTTGTGAACCAGCTATACGCAGTTAGTACCAAAGAAGCCCCGGTTGCTAAGGATATACCACCCTCTCCCAGTCCGTCTCGAGTTCCATACCATAGTCAGTGAGCTCCTTGGGCTGGGACGCTATACCATTCCAATTGACTTATCCCTAGCAACCTAGAAACACTTTTACGCGTTCTGCCCGAGCCACGCCCAGAAAAGGAGGGCGACAAAGTTCAACACGCTGCCAACAGCGGGATATGAAGTCATAACGTGAGTAAATAAGCATATGCTCTTCAAAGAATTGAATTCGAAATGAAGTGTGTTGACGTTATTTGCTGTTTTTCAGTTAATTATTGATCATCTGAGGTTCCCAACCGAAGTCGAATGATATCCCGTCCTTATGGTAAAATTTCATGTTGAATTCCTGGACTGATACTGCTGAAATGTGCGACATTCCGTCAGGGATTTACAGCCTTTATTATCTCCAAGCCTTTTTTTCCGATAATTCTTTCATTTTCCAAATTAAACCAAATTGCATACGATTAGGTATTTTCTAATGAGAAAAAAAGGTACAGATCAAACAGAAACTTACTCTAGTGACCAGTGTTGTCTCCGTTATCCGCCAGAAGTCGAAAACTAGTAGAGTGTGTTACCTGAAAATCACAGTGTGTTTAGGTAGCAAAGGTTAATGACAAATAAGGGAATAATATGTGAAAGGTGGAGGTGAGATATAGAAGAATGGAGTCCAACTGTACTGATTTGCCTTTTTTGTTCTTGTTATATGTATCATTTTTACATGTGTTCTTTATTGAAATGTTTCGTGGAATCACAGTCAAAATGTGAGCGTAAACCACCCTTAAATCAAGGGTTACGAACACATTGACACCAAAGCAACGACGTTGTGGCCTTTTTGTTTGAAATAAAATGTGGAACATTCTGCCAATATCCGTACTTGCTTTTAAATAGCTTGAATGAAATAGTAAACAAGCGAGATACGGGGTGAGTTTTGTTTTGAATTGTCACGCTTCTCATCGTTGGACTGACATAAGAGGTTTTCCCTTTTAGAGTCTCGTTCTAGTTTCACTGTAAAATGCTTCTTACAAAAATTCGCTCATTGATAAGAATTAGATCCTCGACAGAAAATCAAACTAAGCAGATGATTGGTTTGTGTTTCACGCAGTGAGAAAACAATAAAATTTACTGGAAATGTTTCTATTGCTCAGAAGTTCCAGTTATCTATGTCAGCAGACTGCAACAGACCTCCCCTGCCAAAAAGATGACTTGCTGACATGTAACGAGCAGCTTGCACAGCTAAAAGCGAAAACAAAACAATTTGGCGTCACCAAACACTTTAGCCACACTTGCACCACTTATGTTTAGTCTATATTTTGCGTTTAATTTTGCTTGACGGTACCTGAGGATAATTCCTTGCTTTGTCTTAACTGGAAAAAAATCTGGAGACGATTAGAAATTAACCTAATGTCTCTGTTAACCTCTTGAAGTCAGAAGGAAGAGGAAAATTTATCTCTCGGTCAAATATGAAGAGAAACTGCTTGAAGGCATTGAGGCTAAATGCGCCATAATGAAGGAAGAAAACTCTAAAGCATTCAAA